TGTCAGCGGGGCGCAGCCGAGCCGAGGCATATGCGTTCGGCTCGACTGAGCCGCTCGCCCAAGTTCGGGAGCTGTACGGTCTATAGTGAATAGCCCGTACAGCAGCCCTGAACCGAAGGGGTCCTGGGGCCGAAGCTAGCCGATGGATCAGCCGAAGCTACGGCTAGATCCTTCGGCTGCTTCGTGAATAGACCCCTTAGTCTACTGGAGACAATGGACACAGGGACAAACAGAGGGTGAATCTCTACAGCAGTGAGAGCGGCAACCATAAAATCCTGTCAGGGGTTCCAACTGGACATGTGTGATTCGTTTAGTCCGAAACAAAATTTGGACGAAATTTCGGAAATTCAGAGATTCGGATGTGTCCGAATTCCAAATTACAGATATAATGAATGCAAACAAATCCGAATTTCCGATTCCGAAATTTGTTAGCTGTAGTCTGTACGAAATTTCGTTTGTTGGAATGTTTTTCTCAAATGTCACTTTGCTCGAACGAAACGAAGAAGAAACGAATCCCGAAACGAAAACAAATCGAACGTTCGTACAGACTACCGCAAACTAATTTTGTCTGAATCTGAATGCTGAAACAAATATTTATTTTTTATTTGAATCCCAAAAAACAAAATAACGCAAAATCCGAATCAAAACTAAACGAAACACATTTTTTGCTGGTGCACATGTCTAGTTCTATCCCTTCCCTAGTCTATCCAAAATTTTAAACAATGCCTTTATATACACGTGAACTGATATACAGCAGTTTTAGATCAAACCTATGATGAACAGGATTTTTTTAAACTGCCTAATAGCAGGAAGCCCAAGATCGTTGAAAGCACTTAAATTCCAGAGCCTGACTTTGGTAGAGCTGAATACTAAAAGAAGGTTGGGTACCAAAAAAATAAACTCCACCTCATTGTAACCAACCCTTCAACATTCAATTCATGGGCACAAACAGTTTGTTTCTTTTAAATATTTATTGGCCGCAGCTTTAATATAAGAGATTAAGATAACTTGATCCAAATATTGTACAGATATACTGTATAATAAAACCTTCAATGAGGTTATATGTTAATGGATCAAGCCTGCATAAGAACCATCAATGGTCTTGTACTCATGCATTTGCTGTGGCATTGTTTCCATAAGCTTATCCAATGTCACAACATTTATTTCAATACAGAGTTGCATTAATTTTTCATCAAGATCTTGTAGTAATGATGGGAGAGTCGGACCACGGCGTAAAGTCTTCTCCAGCACATCCCAAAGACTCTCAATGGGGTTAAGGTCTGGACTCTGTGGTGGCCAATCTATGAGTGAAAATAACGTCTCATGCTCCCTGAACCACTCTTTCACAATCTGAGCCCGATGAATCCCAGCATTGTTATCGTGGAATATGGCCAATGTGCCATCAGGGAACAAAAGGTCCATTGATGGAAAAACCTGATCATTTAGTATGTTGGCAGTTGACCTAATTTTTTGGGTACATAATGTTGCTAAGCTTAGACCGGATCAACTGAAGCACCCCCAGATCATAACACTTATCCAACGGAAGGCTCTGAACTATTTGCTTAGCTAAGTCCAGGTGGTGACTTTTGTGGCCAGTGTGTGTGTGTGTGTATATTTTTATATATGTATATATATATATATGTATATATATATATATATAAGAAAATGTTTTCCTGGAGTACTTCTTCAAGGCTACAGTCTGTTTTGTCCCAATCCCTTGAGTTCTCTTCACATCGTGCGTGTGGAAATGCTTTTACTTTCACTATTAAACATCGCCGCGAGTTCTACTGTTGCATTTTTATGATTTCGTTTCACCAAACGTTTAAGTGATCTTCGATCATCCAAGATTTCTTCCTTGATGGTGATGGTTCACCACAATCGTTCCAGGTTGTAATAATACGGTGGACCGTTCTTAACCCAATGTTAGTAGTTTCAGCAATCTCCTTAGTTTTTTGCTTTGCTTGATGCCGGCCAATATTTTGACCCTTCTGAAACAGAGCCACATCTTTTCCATGAGTACATGATATATCTTCTGATATGCAGGGGTGGATTTACTCTCTCTGCTGCCCCAAGGCCAGGTTCTTCAATGCGCCCGCATACCTGCCAACCCCCCTCAATGGAGAATGGCAGACATGCAGGCTGCATACAAGTGATCTCGGCAACATCACTAAGATCACTAGTACAAGACAAGCGGTGGCTTCCCAGCTGTACATTTAGCTTTACTTGCCCGAAGCAGTGCTAAATGTAGAAAACAACTTCCCGCTTGGCGCCCGAAACTGCATGTCCCGGGCATCAGGAGGCAGGAGTTGCACACCCCTGCTGCCCCTCTACTCCCTGCTGCCCGAGGCCGGGCCTTGGTTGGCCTTGTGGGAAATCTGGCCCTGCTGACATGGTTGTTTAAGACATGAAAAGCTACTTGCTCCATTTGTTAGGGTTAAATAACTTGTTTCCAGATGAAACATATTAATCACTGCAGGAATTATCCAATGGAAGGCTAGTACATGTTTGTTCAGCTAAATCCAGGTGGTGATTTTTAATTTTTTTTGGCCAGGCAGCATATAAGCTGTATAAACCTCAACTTTAAAGTATACCATTCCTTAGATGTGGCGGTTATATTCTTTTCACCTGGTAAAACTGCCGTAACACATTCCCTGCCTTAGGGTGACAATGCTCACTCACTGTGCTGTAACTATGGCGGAGCAGTGTTGTCTCCCCATGACTGCTCTTCTGATTGATCTGATTGATTACAAACAGCTGCCCATGATGTGAGGAAGGGGTTCTTTAGTTTGCAAAAGATAGCTAGAAAAGCTGGTCTTGCAGTTTGTGATTTTAGCTTAGTGCATTGGAGTTTACTTGCAGAAAATGTACTGAGCCTGAATAAAAGAAATCCAATTCATCCACCACGTCTAAGGACCGGTAAGCTGCATGTTATTACTTTTTTGTTCTTGGGTTTAGATACTAGTGTATCTGCGGAGAAGGAGCACTGATACCCTAGGCCAACGGTGGCGAACCTATGGCATGCGTGCCAGGGAGGGCAAGCGGGGCCCTCTCTGCTGGCACGCGAGCCCAGGTTCAAGGACCACCAATTGAAATAGATCCGACCGACCCGGATCGCCTCAGTACGCGATCTGGGGCAGTCACAATCAGGCAGCGGCGGCCTCTAAACAGGCAGATTAGACGTCCGCTTCCTCCTCGCTAGGACCCTGGGAGGCCCCCGCGAGCGTCCGTCTTATCTGCCTGTGTAGAGGTCAGCGCTGCCTGATTGCAGGAGAGGGGGCAAGGGGCAATGTTCTATTTATTCATTTTTATTATTAGTTCTGTGTGTGTGTAATATGTGTGTTTTAATAAGTGCGTGATGTGTGTGTTTCATTACGTGTGTATGTGTGTGTGTTATTGGGTGTATAAATGTTTGATTATGCGTGTTCCCCTATTTTGTCTAAGGCCCCATTCACACTGAGCGGAAAATCCAGCGATTTCCGCCGCGATATCGCGCATTTTTGCCGCGCGATATCGCAAGAAGTTGCCGGCTAATTCAATAGAGCTGTTCTAATGTACAGCTCCATGTAGCCAGTCGCTGTAGCAGGCCCCTTTTTCCCCGCGGATGTCGCACTATTTTTCTATTTTTGAATGCAGCCCGCCGGTGAAGGTCGCGCGAAAGTTGCCCCCAAACAGTAGCGCTATCCCGGCCGCGCGGATCCGGTTGTAAGGTATGTCGCTTGGTGTGAATGGGGCCTAAGGCAGTGATGTTGAACGTTTCTTAAACCCGAGCGCCCGAATTGCAATACAGTACTAAACTTATTTTCAGCGCTGGCACTTTGAGGTAAATAAATTGATTTTGCGTCGCAAAATTCGGGTTCAAAAAGGTTCGCCATCACTGCCCTAGGCTCTCCTGATTTAGACAGCACCCACCTCCCCTTTCTTCATCTTCGTGAAATAGAAGGAAGGTATTATGTAATCCATAGAGAGAACAGGGAACAATGCAATTGATAACAGTCAGTAGAAGCAAAAGGAAACAAAGAGGTGAAATAAAGCACTTGTGAGTTTAGTGCAGCCTTTCTCAACCACGGCATTACACAGTGAAGACCAGTCCTAGACAGTAGGGATGCCCAGATACCAGTTCAGATACCAGTGCCGATACTTGGCATTTTCACAAGAACTCCCAGGGTTGCAGCGCTTGCAGCTGGGATCTGGCTCTGGCGCTCCACCACTGTCCTGAAATCATTAGTCTGTATTGTTTTAGAAAAACTGTCACATGGCAATAAACAAAAATGTATCAGTACTTGTGTCTGTGAGTACTTGGCCAAGTATCAGTACTTGTAGTTGTAAAAATTGTATCTGTGCATCACTTATATATGTTTATAAAAACGAAATCATACATTAAAACAGAGATGTACAAATCCTGGGAGCTCCGTACAAATGACAGCCGCCTCCTAACTTTTCAATTTTTCTCTAGTCTAGTCTTGGAGCTCAAAAAGTATCTGTACATGTACTTGTACCGAGTACTGTACTTGGTATCGGTGCATCCCTACTAGACGGTATGCACCACACCCAAAATGATTGGCAAAAGACAGAAGATAAAGAAATAGGGCTTTAAAAGGTGGCAAAACCATTGATAACTGTTAAAGATACATTTTAATATGCTTACATTAAATCCAATATTTACAATTATATACACTGTGATATGATAAAACCAATATACAACTCCATAAGCGTCCTGAGATACACCATAGGCAGTTATTGCAGATTTAACCACAGTCTCCGTGTTATTCTTTGCCTTTGAAATAGTCTGAATTATATAGGACAGATTAAAGTCACACTGCAGATAATGGCAAGAGGTGTTTTTTTATCTCTCAAAGGTCTTCTTCCTCAGGAGGAGGACGTTGAGTTTAAACAAAGATGAGAAAACACACTTGCCTAATGTTCATATACAGGGGAGGTGCAGTGTTCCATTGGGGGAACCACATGTGGTGGCCATCCCAGAGCACTTGCTGCCTGGGGTATCCACACAAGGTAAGTATATATAACTCTATTCAAGCAGCTCGTCTCACACGTGCAGCAATTACTCAACCAGTGTGCCATGGGACACTGGTGTGCCTCCTGGCCTCCTCAGTGGTGCCTCAAATTTTAGTGGTAGTGGGATTTGTGATGTGAAGCGGGAAAGGAAGAGTGATTTGAATGGGGCTCCTGATGTAAAAGGGGAACTCTGATGTGAAAGGGGAAACTCTGATATGAAAGTGGGCCTTCCTGATGTGAAGGGGGGATCTTAATTTGAAGGGGAACTTCAATGTGAAGCAGGAAACCCACTTTTTTTGTGTGTGGTCCCCCTTAAAAGCTACCACATTTTACACAGGGGTGCCTCGAGATTGTGCACACTTTTAAAGGGTGCCATGACTAATAAAAGGTTGATAAATTCTAAATTAAGCCAGTAATTTTTTAATTTAATTTTTTTGTGGTTCACATAAATGGGGGCCTGCCCTTTGTTATAAAAAGGTGCCCACAGAGATAGAAGATATGTAAAATATGGCACATTATTTTTTTGTTAATGATTTAATGAAGTACTCATTAGAAGGAAGTAGAGAGTTACTTACGGGAAGGTAAATGCGGGGTGCAATTGTCAGCATCACAACACGCTGCAACCATCTTCACTTGCCCTCCATTAGGGATGCTCAGACTTCCCTTTATTTGACACTCCTTTGGAGGTACACATGACTGGACATATGTGTTTATCGTCATGCCACCTGCAAGTCAACAAAACTGATTAGTTTTTTTTTTTAAAGGGACGGTTTTAAAGTGCATCTATACGCATTTGTTTTTAAAAAAATGTTTCGGGTAGTATTGGGAAGGTTTGGAGCCCCCGTCAGGTCTCACTGCTATCTGGGGCTCTGTCAGAGAGATTTTCCTTCACTTTTTGTGCTGGGGACAACCTTTTCAAAGTAAAGGGATCTCTACCAAGGAGCCTCAGACTGTAATAAAACCTGACAGGGGTACTAATTCTTCTCTAGTCTCTCCAAAACTAACAAAAACGTTCTGGCTATAGATACACTTTGAAGTCAACATGTATATTAACCATTTAGTGCAAAGTAACAAGTTTGTTTAACAGCTCCCTCTACTTCCACTGCAGATACTTTACTTTCCCTTTACCACTGCTGCCTCATGTGCTTGAAGAAACCCTGAGAAATATTTTCAAGTATGAGGCAACGTGTTCCATTTTTCTCTTCCTGACAGAATACAAGTGCTTGCTATATAAGCAGGCAAATGCCATGTGGAGAATTGTCATGTGGGGTATAGGGGGGACGTTTTTTGCCGATAGAAAGCTTCAATTGAGACCGACCTGGAAATTATACTACATGGCCAAACATTTGTGAGCATCTAACCTTCACACTTACTAGAGTATATGGCCAAAAGTATGACACCAAAGAATTCAGTTAATGCTGCACCATTCATGCTTCCAACCTTCTGGCAACAATTTGGGGGCAGGTCCTGGCCTCAACCCTACTCAACACCTTTGAGATAAATTGGAAGGCCCATTGTGAGACAGGTCTTCTCATTCAACATCAGAGCCTGACCTCACAAATGTTCTTTTGGTTGAATGGGCACACATTTCCATAGACAAGCTAGAAAAATGTATGTGCGTGGGTGGGCATTCAATATTATTGCCAATGGATTTGGAATGGGGTGTCCAACAGACTCATATAGGTGTGCTTTTAGGTGTCCTTAAGCTTTTGGCCAAATATTGTATATAGGATATTTTATGGGGCAGGAGGGGCGAATCCAGAAGTTATTTATCGTCAAAGAGGGTGAATATAGAATTACAGATCCCTATTAGTTTCTGCTTGTAAACAAACACAGGGATCCTGGGTGACAACTTTGACCAAATATGGAAAAATGCCTCATGCTTAGATTACGTCCTCTAAAAGGGATGTTGGGTTCTGTAGGGGTGGACTTATCGCAACCCCCTTTAAAATAAGGGGCTCCCAGATATCTAACTCCCCACATAAATGAATATGGGGTAAAAATGGGGGTAAAAAATAAAACTAACTTCACCATCTAATATTTTTCTTGATTAAAAAAAAAAAAGTCCCATTTTGTGGATCCAACGTCAATCATGGTATCCAGTGATGTCTATTCACATTAATTGCACTGATCACTGCCCAAAGGTGTAGACCTGCCCACTGCCCAACCTCTGCCCAACCATGCTGCCCTACTTTGACTCCCATTGCAAATGATAGTTCCCTGATCAGCTTCTGTATATTAGCCAACGTGGATACTGGGTGACATAATTGACCAATTATGGCCATGACAATA